AAATAGGTAGACTATGTAGAAGTCTGCAGGAGCCTGGTTACTAGGTTTCGATGTCTGGCAAGTTCCGCAGGATGTGCAGAACCTGTCAGTGTCTTTGGCTAGTGTAGGCCACCAGTACCACCAATGAATATACTGATCTGTCTTTCTGAATCCAAAGTGACCAAGCATAGTGTGAGCGTGGTCGATTACCATCTGTGGTAGAGTGCACTTGTCGAACTTGACATGAGGGATGCAGAGTACTGAATCTCCGAGATGGTTCTTTGTATAAAGAAGGCCATCTCTGAGCTCGAAGTTGGCAAACTTTTCGGGCTCTTGGACGATTTTACTGAACATAAAATTGTCCTTATATCCAACCTTCACTTGATCAAGAAATGAGGTGTCGCCTTCGGCTCTGCTTTTTAAAGGCTCGATGGCATCAGAAGGGGCAAGAGCAATGAGATCTTCATCCTCAGGCTCTTGCTGAGCAGTGGTCTTAGTTGTCTTGCATTTCGTCAAGTGAATAGCATTAAGGCCTTCATTTGATATTGAGTTTGTGCTCAGGCAAGGGCTCATTGGAGACACCTGGGCCTACCTGCATGTTCTTGTACTTCTCAAATCGGCCGAGAGGAAGATCCTGTCCATTCTGATCTAGACATACATCTGCATTGACATAATCATCGTACAGATGTACCTCATCAGGCTTATTGTTAGAGTAGTACCTCAAGAAGCAGTCAGACACAACATTGTATGCACCTGCTTCATGCAAGATGTCGTACTTGAATTGGGACAAATACTCCATCCAACGCAGCTGTCGATAAGACATGTGGGATGTTGGTTGGTGCTTAATGAACTGCAGGGCTTTGTGGTCTGTAATAATGTGGAATCTTCGTCCAAGAAGTTTGTCCTTCCACTTGAGCAGAGCCTCGAGTATTGCTAGTAGCTCTAACTCATAGATCTTGTAAGAGTGTTGTGCGAATGTAAAATTCTTGGATATGAAACCAGCTGGACAACAAGTATCCCATTTGGGGCCTTGTCCATAGTAGGCTCCTACGCCACTCACCGACACATCGCAGATGACCCATATGGTTTCGTCTTAACACAGGGTCAATTGGCTTGAGAATTGGAGCCTTGCACACCTTTCACCTGATGGAGTCGAAGCACCTCTGGTGAATGGGGCGCCAGAAGAACAAGCATTCATTCTTGACTATAGCGGAAAGAGAACCTGTATAAGCAGAGACGTCTGGCATGAAATGCGCCAGATATTGGACTAGGCCGAGAAATCGTTGTATGGCAAGGTAGTCCCTTGGCATACGCCATTCTTGGATCCTAGCCATCTTATCTGAGTCAGCATGGAGGCCTTGGTCATCTATGCGATAACTCAGGCAGTCCATATCACACGAGAATAGCTTGCACTTCTTGGCCTTGAGAAACAAGTGATTGTTCCTCAGCATAGTAAACACAATCCCAAGATGCACCTCATGCTCCTCAATCATGTCCAAGAACAGAAAGATATTGTCCATGTATGGATGGACGAATATCCCGATATATTGATGAAATATGTGAGTCATTAATCTTTGGAACGTTGAAGAAGCGTTGCAGCCCTCTTGTTGCATCATCTGGCTAACCATGGTGCCGTATATTGTCAAAAAGGCCATCTTATGAATGTCATTGGGTTCTATATGAATCTGTTCATATGCATCAGGCAAATCTAGCTTGGATCGGACTGGAGCCCTTGCAACTTTTAGTTTGATCTGCTCTTGGTCAGAAAACAGGGTGACATCCTTTATGGTGTTGTCATTCTGCTTCCTGCAATCGACAACTGTATGAATATTGCTATCTCTCTTGGGGATTGACAACATGGGAGCTGCCTGTGGCACTGCTTGATATTTCCACCATCTGGCATTGATATACTGGATGATCTTTGTCTTCAGCAGAGGCTTTAGAGCCTCCGTGCATCTAGACAGATGGTAAGTTATTTTGAGATAATTATCTATCAACGGTATATGATGATTTATCTTGCACATGGGTGGGAGAACTTCAGGGACACCACTCATGATGTCCTTGAACTCTTCAAACCACTTGCACCGCTTAGCGTCCAAGTTTGTATTATTGAGGAGAGAGATAATCTCCTCTCAAGGGGGAATATATGCTCTCTGGGCCTTATATATGGTGATCCCATCCTCAGGCTTAGTTATTTGTGCTTTCTTCTTTTCTTTTGCCGAAGCATGCTTGGCTGTTGGGGCATAGCGTGCTTTGGCTGAGTTCATAGTCTTTGTGACCATGGACTTGGCTGTGGACAGCGTATGGTTGTCCTTGCCATACGCAGCCATTGTGAGTCCCTTAGGGCTCGCGCTGTCGAGTCAGTGTTGCTTTGATTGGGGACTGTATACCAGTTCCCAATCGTCGACAGTCTCAATAGCAACCATCTTCGAGTTCAATCGTGACGACGAGGCAGTCAGATGGCATTGCACCTGTTTGTCACCCAGAACGTGATTCTGTTGAGTTTGTCATTTGGTAGGCCCATCTTTCTCCCCTTCAAGCATGTGTAGGGTGGTGGAGCCTATGCGAATGGTTTAGTTGTGGAAGTTGAGGACCATCCCAATGTCCTGCATGATCTGGGTCCCTATGATCAGATCATAGTGATCCAGAGATGCAACATCAAAGTAAAAGTTGTGCATGGCAGGATCGATAGATACAGGCAGCCATACACCATAGCTAACCTTTGACCACGAACCCAAACATCCCAGTTGTAGGGTGATAGGGTTTGACAATGGAAAAGGCTTAAGTTCTGCAACTTTAGTGCAGTCAGGGCTTATGATGTTGATTGTGCTGCCAGTATCAATAAGAATGTATGCCTCAAGGTTGTTAATCTTGAGGTACACCCTCATCGTCTTTCTGCACATTGCCAGACGCTCCTGGGCTGTTGACATGGCCTTCATGGACAAGCGATAACTGAAGGTCTCGGTTATTGCACAGAACATATGGTTGCTCTCGCCTTTGTTGTAGTACTTGTCATTAGGGAACTTGTACGGTTCCAGAGGAGGGGCAGGCTCAGGGAGGTCTTTGATAATCTCCTTGTAGCACGTACACTCAATGAGGTCTTGACTCTCTGCAATTGTAGGGACTGCCTGCTCAGGATCAAATAGCCTGGCCATGCTATGTTCTTCCAGATGCTGTGCAGTGACCCTGCTGTGTATATGATGGGTTACATTGCGGCGACGATTATTGCACATGTTAAATTACTTAATAACCATGCTCATAGAGTCATCTGGAATACGCATGTCAATAGTGCGGACTAAAGTTTGCACTTCCTCCCAAAGTGTCATATTGTTAAGATAATAATTCTCGAATAATAAATTCAGTGCATCGGCACGCAGCATGAGGTTGTGATAACTATTCCTTATGCCCTCCAGCTAGTCTCGCTCAGTTAAATTAAGAGGTACATCTGTGAATGTTTGAACAAACTGGACCTCGAAGAGTGTAGGCTTCTCAAGCCGAAGCTCGGCCATTGTTTCAGAGGCTTGACAGATGGCATTGCGTCAACGACGTGACGCCCTCACTCACCCAGTCTCAATGTGGCTTATGAGAGAACCAAGAGTAGCATTTGTTCTCTCAAGATGGCATTGAATATGCTCGACAAAATAGTCATGGGACATAAGGTCTGAGAGGGCCAACATGTCTTCTGGGTTGACCGTCCCCATAATCTCATTCTGCTCTTTGTTCCAGTGAATCAGCATATAACTAGCTGTGTTTATTGCCTGGTTAAACATTACACAGGACTGAGTGTCAGGATCCGCCATGTTGGCAGGCAGTGTAGGAGAATCCAGACTAATCATAGCCTTTGGATCCTGTGTGCCAACCGGTTCATTATTGAGCACGATTGTTGGCTGCCCAGAAGGTCCGGCACCATTTTCAAATGTAGATCGCTGCCAGTCCACAGTGTTTAGTGTATTGAACTTGTAGACAGATTCAGACTCGGAGGAAGGTACATTTTCCTCCGATTCAGACTCATATTGTGAACCTATTACTCTGGACGAGTGTCCACTATCTAAAGTGTAGTCGGGAGAGGCACCTGCTTCCAGGTGTTCTCCATCTGACACTTCAGCATTCTCGTCCCTTCCTTCACTGTCATCTTGGTCATCTTGAGGAAGAGAGCCAGTTGCCTGGTCTGCTTTCCCATCGCCTTTGTTCACGATGTCGAGATGTCTTAGGGACTATTTGTTAGCCATTGAACACTTGGGGTCTGAGGCGTAGTGGCCAGTGTGGTTGCATCGGTAGCACAATACCTTGGACTTATTGACTGGCACAGCCTTAGCCTTGCCCTGACTGGGTTGGTTTGAGGATGGATGCAGACAATCTCGTCACTCGCGTCAGTCTCTACAGCCATTGCAGTCACATTCAGGTTGCTCACAAGAGTGCTGTGACCTCTCTCTACGTTGATTGCAAGGGAAATTACTAGATCGATTTTCTGAGGACTGCCTTGACGACTCTCAATCATTGTGGGAAGGTGCATCACCCTGGGTCTTTAAAGATGACGGTGCTGCCACTGTCTTCACTGACATCATAGATGCCTGTCACTTCTGCCAAGTCTCCGTGCTGGCGTCAAGGTTCTCGATCTGAAGGGCACTCTCGAGAAGCCTCTCGGCACTCAAGTTCTCAGGGTTTCGGCCATAAAGTTCTTCAATTTGAGTAGTTATAGATATTGGGAGTCCATCCACGAATCGTTGGGTGAATGAATACACGTTCAGGTGGACAACCATTCACCTGGTGTACTTGTCCAGGCTTTGGAAGAACCTGTTCACCTCTATATGAGATGAGTAGCACACAGAATCATACTTGTAAACTGCATCCTTAATTGTATTGGACTTCACAAAGCACAAGTACATTGAGCAGAAGGTTCCTGCCAATGTTACTCTGTGATCTTCTAGTACTAGAAGATTTGGTTTGATATCCTTGCAGAACCAAGTGGCAGGCTTGCCTTTCAATTGGTTCCCCAAGAACAGGATTGCTTCTGACTCTAAGTTGGGTATGTTTAATCTAGCAAGGTACGCAAATTGGACGAACTTCAAGAAGAACGTCCAGAATTTGTTGTGATCAGAGCTACCACCATATGTGGCGGTAATTTCTGATTTGACCTTGACCAAGGAAGAAAGCTTAGGCAGCTCTCTTCCTAAGTTTCGGCCAATATGATCTCCTATAGCTGTCAATACCGACTCAACAAAAGCCGGCACAGTTGCAGTTGCTGGAGGCTGTGCAACATGGACGGATGGATTTTAACTCCATCCTGCCATATTGGCGGTTCAAGTGGCTGCAGTCGCCCTCTTCCTTGTCATCTTAGATGCTGTAGTTGCTTGTTGTGTGTACCCGGAAATGGATGATAGTGGGGCCATTGTCGAAGGTACAGAGTTTATCTGTACATTTGATAGCCCTGCTTATACACTTCGTTGTGGTTGAACGTCTTGCCCTGTAGACACTTGTTGTCGCGCGCGTCCAGGCGTGAATTGCTTTGATATTCCTGCAAAGGAGGTGGTATGGGCTTTGCCATCCCCTTCTTTGCCTTCAGAGTCTTGCTCTTCTGTGTCGTCATCAGGCTTACCTTTGGGTTCATTGTCTGATCCATCGCTTCCATTATTTCTGCCTCCACTGCTATTTCCCCCATGTCCTCCATGTCCACTGCTACTGCCATGGTTCCCTCTTTGGCCCTGTTCATCAGGCTCATCCTCATCCGAATGGACAGCGCTATCAGCTGTCTCGTTTGGATCAGAATGTAAACCGGCTCAGCAAAGATGTTCATTTGAGCTTGGACCATGTCAGGCTTGCAAGGTGTGAGACTGAGGCTCTGAGATGGAGGGAATCCTTCCATTGTCTGGGGAATTCCCTCCGTTGTTAGTAGCAGGGAGATTGAAGGGTATAATAGGGTTGGCTCTAGCCTTCCCTTTGTTCTTCGGACTGGGTTGAGGCTTGGAGGAAGGCGACGTGGATGACTTGTCAATTTTGTCACCTTTGTCAACAAAGCTTTTAGTCAGAGAGACTCGCAGCCTGTCGAGCTCCTTCACCTCTATAGCTTGGGCAGCTTCATCAAGGGACTCTCCGTTGGCCATCCTGGCCAAAGTCTCCTTCAACGTCTCACCGAAAATGTCAAGGCTCTGCTTGGACCCCTTGACAGCCTTGGTAAACTTGGCATGGTATCTATTGAGTTCGTTGCAGGTTTCAGTAATGAAATCCTCAAACTCAGTATTCACCTTCTCAACCATACCGCCTACATCGGAGATTTGCTCTTGGAACACATCCCATATCTGGGACAGTTCCCAATTGCGTTGTTGTCGGACATTGCGGAGATTCTTCCTGTGCTCTTCGTCTTCCTCCTTGATTTGAGAAAGAGCCACCTCATATACTGAGGATCCTCCTCCATGGCTGACGGACAGGTGGAGATCAACCAGCTCTGCATTGCTGGCCGATCCCATTGTGGTGGTAAGTTCAGAGACAAACGAGGAAGAGTCCCCATTATCTGTTTGATTGCCAGCAGCGCTATCCTGGCTTTTGATGTGTTTGGTGTCAACATGCAAGGGAGGTGTCAGGGCAATTCTCCTTTTAGTATAAGATATAAGCACCAGTGCAGTTAATGCTCCAGTGCTCGCCGTTGTCGGAACGTACACATCACCGCCGCTTTCCTCGAAGGGAATCGTCAGTAATGCAGTTTTCGTTTGAGATCTGAGGACTTGAGTGCTCATTCTCAGTCCTTAGTGGTTCAGTATCAGTAGTTTTACTGTAGTAGCAATAACAAACATAATTTGCTTTTGCTGGATACAAGCCTGAAGGCTCAAAAACGTGTAAGACCTGTAAGGTTGTAGACTTAAAAATCACCCCACTAGAGCCAGACCACATTGTATTCACAAAGTGTAGCTATAACAGAGGGGTAAAAGTAAAGTCTGAGCCTGAAACCGAGAGGCATCCTGACCTTATATCAGGCCGGAATGCTACCCAATAACAAATACAGGAGTGAGCACAAGGAGGACGTGTTTCTGATCGATGAGAGCACCAAGTTACAAAAAAGGAAGGTGTCTACGGTAAATGGGCACTAGGTCACGCACCTTACATAGTGACAAGCTCCTGCAACTCCTGATAGGAAGCAGTTTGTAAATGGCCCTTGCTGTAATTGTTGTGCATGCTCTTGGGACGGGAATATTTGTGCTGTAGTGAAAATGCAGGTTAGAAAACATAAAGAAGAACGCACAATAGCTGGCACTCACCAGCTTGCAGTAGAGCCCGCAGGGGTTACAGTTGAGCTCATTGTTGAAACCACGATGCCATAATGGAGGGTGGGTAGCGCCGCAGTTTGAGCACTATGCCTTGACACCACCAGAGGCAGAGGTGGTGGTGTTCATAGCTGAGTTGACATGTGTCACGCCAGGACTCAGCAAACATGAACTGTTAGCAGTGTGCAGATTGAGCAACAACCGCTTACCATTGACTGAGGTAGCACTTGGCGGAGGGTTCAGGCCGAGGCAGGATAGCATTATTGTCTGAGGCACAAAATCCTCCATGTACAGTACAGCACATAGCACATTCGTGGACAAGAGCATCAATTCATCCTCATGAGGATGGTCATCATATTTGGGAGCAGAGGTAAAAACTTGTGCATTGTTTGTTGCAGGCTTCATAACTTCTTCCTGAGAAGTAAAGGTTGACTTGCCACTTTGGCAAGCTTTGGAAATGTTAAACACTACCAACTAGCTGCCAGAGCTGCTGGCATTAAAAATATCATCAAGCGGGAGTTTGATGGTAGTCATAATGTAATCATTAGCATTGCTGTAGATCCCAGCAGAGGATTGCTTGCAGTGGCGTGGTGATGTCCTTGTTATCTGCTGCCACTGGTGTGGAAGGCTTCATGCACCTCACGAGCTTGCCCTTGAATAGCCAGCTCTGCATCTGCGCAACACCACTGAGTATCACCTGCTCCTCATTTTCCATGGCAGCACTAGCACCTGCACCAATGCCGTTGTCGCTGAGGGGCTGCTGCTTTGTGTCTGCCACACTGAGCTTCTTACGCATCTACAGCATGCACATGTTGTTGCACTCATGCGAGGCCTGCAGAACGTCCACAAGCAGATCCTTGAGGAACTGTGTGAGCACTGGACCCACGCCACCCCCACTCCTGCCATTATTGCCACACACGAGCACGCTGCTGCCTTTGTGGAGGATGCTTGTGAGCTCCGTGGTCTTGAGCATGGACAGTGTGTCTGCGGTGGCACATGTGTTCATGGCCTTGAGGGAGAGGAAGAGCCTCTCTCCTCAGATTTCACTTCATACCCAGCCTTTGTATTATGCATTTGTTCGCGGATTGCTTAAAATGAAGTATAGATACACAGTACAAAACATATCAATGATTCAGCAGGAGGGGGAAAGTGCTGGGATGCAGAATAGAGAGAGAACATGGTATGCACATTGATCCATGGCACATGCTGGGTCATGACAGCATCTACATAACAGGGCACTTATTTCGGATGCATCTCAACACTTGACCTCACCTTACAAACCTATCAGGAACCCACGATCTCATTGTGAGACCTTCGCGGTGCTGATCTTGATGCAATCTTGAGGCACTTGCCTCCTGAAGCTTCTGGAAAATTTGCAACAGTGTATATGCAAATGGTTCTTTGCAAATTTCCAGTCTTTACACTTCGTATCGTCAAAACAAAGGGGAATATATTCCTACATAGGAGAACAGTGAGTAATGGCCTGTTTTATAGCAAGGCGAGTGTGACGTATCTCAAAAGCCTTGTAAACCTAGTGAATATACTGCCGATAAGCATCAACAGTTTCAGTTGTATGGACCTCAAAGCTTGCATACATATCGCACTCAATATACTAACAAATGAGCTTCAACAGCACATAGCCGCACCTACTGGTCTCTGTGGTCAACGCCTGGGATAAAATAAAGACAATAATCTGCAAGGAAGTTTTGAGAATGCATTGCAGAGTAATTTGAGCGAACACATACCTCTGACAGGTCTTTGTACTTTGAACCGTCAGACAACTCAATATGGCGGACACCTTTAGTGGAGTGGTATAGACCACACCATGTCGGAAACACCATTGATCTGGCTCAGGGAATTAAGCTATCGGCAATTATTTAAAATAGACCCATGCACTTACAGATTGTTGATAGCCACTGAGATACTTCTATTCAAGCCTTCAACCACCAATTTGAACTCTGGCCAGAGGTGTTTGCCAAAGATTCCTAAGTGATAGGCATAAAGTCAGTCAAAATAAAGTGTCTTGTGCTGATCCAAGCGAGCAAGCTTCCAGAAGACATTCTGCGCAATCTCGTAAAGGAGAGGGTGAAGACCTGCCATGCAACATTGCCCAGTTTCTGCAACAAACCAAGCCTGCGATTGTCATGGATGACCAGAAATGCAAGACAATATCCCATTACAAGAGTATCTGTCACTGTCACAAGTCCGCTTGTCTCAACTGCAATCGAGAGGATGCCAACAAGGGCTTCATCCTTACCAGCAAACTCTGCAGGCAGGACGCATGGTCAATAGCCACCTGCTCCTTGGTCCTGATGCAACACTGCATGACTGGATTCTCATCTTGTGATCCGCTGCCTTGCAAGTTGCAAAAAAACAGTTCAATGTGCCTACGTATCAGAAGCGGCTGTTGATGCCAGACGACCTTTCGCACCTCAAGGCAAGCATTTGCATTGCACTGTGCCATGATGATTGCCTTTTCTTGGCTCTGATCTTGGTTGGATTTTTCAGTCTGCACCGGTTAGGTGAACTGGTCTGGCCTGATGATCCCTCACTTTATTCATCGTGCAAACTCATTCATTGCCACTCTGTCAAGGTCACTGCAACATCCATCACATACATGCTGCCTATGCACAAAGTGGACTGCTACTTCACCAGTAGTGAGGTCATCATTGAACACCGCATTGACCGCCTCGACCTAGGCGCACCTTTTCTTGCTTACCTTGCACCTTGCAATGCTCTTTTCTCCTTTGAATTGGTGCTGTTTCTGCAGCATGATGGTCTTGTGCCAACACAAGGCTGGTACCTTTCACGCCTGTGGGCCATGGTTGGTGACTCAGTGGGTGGCCATTCTTTGTGTCCAGGTGGGGCAACTTTCTTGGCTTCGCTTAGTTGCCCTGATGGTCACATTCAAGCTTCAGATCGTTGAAGCTCGGAAGCCTATTGCTTGTACATCCAGGAGCATTCTGTTGTCCTCCAAGCATTCTTGCAGGCACGCCACTGTGTGTTTGATGCTCCTGTTCACACGACGACCTCTTCCTTTTCCTAGACCACCAGTCCACCCCATCACCTTCCTCCTTTAGGTCAATACAGGTTGGTATTATTGCACGTGGGCGCTTGCAGAATTTACTTAAGGCTGTCCTCTTAGAGACAGCCAGGTTGCGTGTAAACTTTGTGAGCAAGTTTCTCCCACATCTTTAGGTGAGACAGCAACAACTATTTTGTGTTTAAAGAGTCTTTACACTGATCTAATCGTGCCACCTGCTTTTAATGTGCACACCCAAACAGTGTCAGGGCTCTTACCTGCAGCATGAAAAATGTCCAGCAGACACCCATATGAAAGAGGTCTCGGCTACGCTGCCACTGAAATGAGTGGCAGATGGCGTGTACCAAGTGGAACCCCTCTTTGAGGAGTACACAGAACACAGGACAGTTAGAGATGTAGTGCACCTCTTCTTGTCTCTCATCTCAGCTAGTCTAAGGTTGGTTCTTTTGCACAGCGTGCATCTCTTCTCATTTTTCATCTCGGCTATCTTATAGGCTTATTTGATTTACCGTCACCCCTCCCTTGTTTTGTTTTGGTTTCCTGGTCATATGTTCATAGCTCTATTGTGGCTATGCCATTTGTGTTTTTTTCTGTACTGTCCTCTGCTGCCTCACCATTGTTGTGCATGGGCGCCTGCAGAATTTACTTAAGGCTGTCCTCCCGGGAATAGCCAGATTGTGTGTATGATCAGTCAGATATAAGCTGGTGCAAAACACCAATAAGGATTGCTTGTGTACCTTAAAATCTCAGAGTGACAGCTGTTTGAGAAATGTTTGTTGTTGGGCATGCTTTAGCTTCATGGTAAAGATTACCTGTATGTCGGCTGCTTTTCAGACCAGATGCACATTATAACCTTGTGCTTGCTGGACCTTTGGTACAAGACACACAGGGCACGTGCAGCTGCCATTGATGCCATGAATGAGTGCCATGATACATTTGCTATTTTGTTTAGTAATCATAGTATGAGTTAGACAAAATATTACCCACTGTTCTTCATAGTCTGCGGAGAGAATAATGATAAATGGAAATAACCACCATGTCAATTCATCACCACATTGTAGCTACATGTGAGAGCTTCTTGACTGTCTCGATGACTCTGTAGAACACTTTATGCCAAATGATGTTCTTGAAATCCACATATTTGGGCTTGTTGTGGCCAAATGCGTTCTCATGCACCTGTTAAATGCTTATAAAGCTGTGTAAGTGAGAAGAACATGGTACATACTATAGGAAGAAATCCCACAATGTGCCCTCCACCAGATCCTCTGCCATTTTGTGTCTCCACATCCAGGTTTGCAATTTGTGCAATTACCGGGTATTCATTCTGCATACCAAATCTTGAAAGCTTGGCCTTATCAACTGAGAGAATTACACTAAAGGAAGTGAAGAGGGGACTTTTCACCTGATTAAGAACCCATTCCCACAGAGGCCACGCGTGGACATCAAACAAATGCTCCTGCTGATTGTAGATGGCAGATATAGTATACTTGCCAAAATAGATACATAAGAGGTCAGTGGTGAGCACTAACAAGGCTGGCTGCAGCCCTGCATATCTGAGCATGATGCTGTGAGTCTCTTTGTCAAGTGACAGTAGTGTCTTTGTGTGTAGCGAAAGAAAAGTCTGAGCTGCCAGACTTTATGCACTCCACCACTGCAAGCAAACAACTGATCTGCTGCTGACTCATCCCAGCCTCAAGAATGACCTCAGAAAACTCAAAGTTGTCACGACAACGAAACAGATGCCATGGCCTGCTTACAAACTCAAGAAGTTTTGCAGGAGGCAGAGTTGTCAGCTGCTCTCTGTGGTACTCATCGAACTGGTAGGTGCATGCTGAAATCTCACCGTCTGGGTGGTATTCAACTTTAAACTCATCGAGTTGCAGAACTTTGTCAGCCTGGTCTTCTGAGTTGGAAGGTGGCAATTTCTGGTGCACCAGCTCTCCATAGTCCGAGGTACCCATAGTGGCTAATTATTTCTAGGGATCGGAATGAAGCGGCATTGGTATGGGATCTTGTGCAAAAACCTTGTTGCTGGCATTGGCAAAAGAAACAGCTTAACAAATTCAAGTCTGGAGAAGAAAGGAAGGAGACTAAATGG